TAATATATATATAAAAAAGAAAAATTTTATAATTTTTTAAGAAAAAAAAAAATAATATATAAAATAAATTATAAAAACATTAATATAAAAATAAGTAATACAGGAAATATAAAAATATTTAGTAATTATAATTTTTTAATAAATTAAATATTTATAATACTATAATTTTAATTAATAAAAATCTACACTATATAAAAAAAATTTATTTATATACATATATTTATAATTTAAATAAAAAAATTGTAAATAAAATAAAAAAAAGAAAATATATTAATATTATATATATAATAGTATATATATAAATAAATATATATATATATATATAAATATATATTTATTAGTAATTATAATAATAATAATATACTATTTTTAATTATACATTTTTAATTTTATTTATTTTTATTATCATATTTATTATAATTTATTTTATAATTTTAGTTATTACATTTTTTTTTATATTAATAATTGTTTTTTTAATTAATATAGTTATTAAATAAATAATAGTTTTTATTTTATTTAATATATTTACTTTTAGCGTAATTTTTTTTTTTTAATATATTTTTTTAAATGAATTTTTTATCTTTTATAAAACAAATTATAAATTTAATATTATATTTTTTTTAAAAAAATAAATAAATATTATATTCATATATTAAAAAAAAACAAATGGAAAATTATCGTATAGAACATGACACATTTGGACAAATAAATGTCCCTAAAGATAAATTATGGGGTGCTTAAACTTAAAGATCTCTCCAAAACTTCGAAATATGTACTGATACTGACCGTATGCCAATTCAATTAATTAGATCATTAGCTATAATAAAGAAATGTGCAGCCAAAGTAAATATGTCATACGACTTAGATTAAAAAAAAGGCTAAGCAATAATCTAAGCTGCTTAAGAAATAATAGAAGGAAAACTAGATGACCATTTTCCTTTAGTAGTCTGGTAAACAGGCTCTGGTACTCAAACTAATATGAACTTAAACGAAGTAATTGCAAATAGAGGAATGTAGATATTTTAAGGAATAAAAATTCATCCAAATGATGATGTTAATATGTCACAATCTTCAAATGACACCTTTCCATCTGCTATGCATTTAGCGACTGTTATCGAGTTTAAAAATAAACTTTTGCCTGCTTTATAAAATTTACATTTAGCTTTAACTGAAAAAATGAATGAATTTCAAAATATAATTAAAATAGGTAGAACACATACATAAGATGCCACTCCTCTTACATTAGGTTAAGAATTTTCAGGCTATGTTTAATAAATTCAATAAGGAATTTAAAGATTAGAATAAAAAATTCCGTAAGTTTCTTTATTGGCATAAGGAGGAACTGCAGTAGGGACTGGATTAAATACTTATGAAGTATTTATTTCTATTATAATATATATATATATATATATATATATATATATTTATGTATATATATATATATATTTTTTAAGTGCTTTTCACAAAAAATAGCTTAAGAAATAAGTAATGAAACTAGTATAGAATTTAAAACTGCCCCAAATAAATTCGAAGCATTAGCTACTTGCGATGCCTTAGTAGATTTTTCGGGTTCTTTAAATACTTTAGCATGTTCTTTAATGAAAGTATTTATTTGCATTTTATATATATAAATAATTTTATATTTATATTAATATTTATATATATACATTGATAATTTTTTTATTTTTTTTAAAAAAAGATTGGAAATGATATAAGATTTTTAGCCAGTGGCCCCAGAAGTGGTTTAGGGGAATTACTTTTACCTGAAAATGAGCCTGGTAGTTCTATAATGCCTGGAAAGGTAAATCCTACATAATGTGAATCATTAACTATGTGTTGTGCTTAGGTTATGGGAAACCATTTGGCAATAACTATAGGAGGACAACATGGGCATTTTGAATTAAACGTATTTAGGCCACTTGTTATAAAGAATGTTATTCATTCTATTTGTTTATTAAGTGATTCATGTTGTTCTTTTGTGAAAAATTGTGTTAAAGGAATTAAAGCTAATGAAGAAAAAATAAAATAACTCATGAATTAATCTTTAATGCTTGTTACAGCTTTGAACAAACATATTGGGTATGAAAAAGCAGCATAAGTAGCAAAAAATGCTCACAAATAAAATATAACTTTACTAGAGTCTTGTTTAGATTTAGGTTATGTTACTGAAGAATAGTTCAAATAATGGGTAAGACCTGAAGATATGTTGAATTCTTCAAAATTTATTAAAAAAATTTGAAATATTATATATTAATATTAGTTTTAACGTTATTTTTTAATAAATTTTCATTAAAAACTTAAAAAATATAAAAATAAATAAAAATAGAGTCTTAATATAAAAAAAATATTTATAAATTATATAATTATATTAATTATATATTTATTTAAATTTAATTCATTTATTGTATTTTTTTTATTAATAATATTGAATTTATATTAAAAATAATTATATATATATATTATAATAATATATATATGATTTTATTTATATATATAATTTTATATTTTTTTTTAATTTTTTGTAAATTAATATTATTTTATATTAAATTTGTTTTTTAATTATAAAATCGATAAAAATATATGTTTTTATTTATAATAGAATTATTATAAATTTTATTAAATAATAACTATATAAATAATTACTATAATTAAAAATTTATTTCTTAAAAATAATGAAAATAATTATTAATATTTAATTTATCATTTTTTTTAAAAAATTATAATTGAATAAAATACAAATTAAAAACAATTAAAATACTCGCATATATATATATGATGATTTTATGATATGAATTTAATCAAAAATAGTTAATATTTTATATATATAATTCATTTTGATTTATATTATCTTCAGCTTAAACTTTACTTATAAAATATCCTCCAATATCCTTTTAAATAGTTGGTATATTAACAGTTTTACTGAACTCAAAATTATATAAATTTTTATATGCACTTTATAATAAATCTTTTGTTCTTTAACTAACCATTATTTTACCAGGTTCTCCGTTTGACTCCATTTTATTTGAAATCATAACATCTGTACCATATACATCATATCTTACTATATTACTACCTGTTATACCTCCAATTATCTAACCCTTACAAATGTTTTTATTTTATTTTTAAATAAAAAAAATTATTATATACTGTATGAATTCCTATACGCATATTTAAAGTTAAAAAATTAACTTCTTCTCGTACGATTTATATAATTTTAAGCATTTCAAAAGCCATTTATACCACATTTTTGGCTTCAAGTGCTGGATTTCTCTTTATTTTTAAAAAATAATTTTTTAATTTTTATTTATTTTTTACTTCTTTTGCATTATATATTCCTAAAACTACATAGCAATCACCAATAGTATATAGTTTAAAGCAACTTTACTTTTGGCATTATTTATCAAATTTAAAAAATAAACTTGAAAGCATATTCAAAACTTCTTCTGGACTTCTTGCTGAAGAATATCTTGTAAAATCAGTAATATCAGCAAAAATAAGAGTAGCATCTTCAAATATATCAGTTAGTGTTTTTTTTAAGTAATTGCCTATATATTAAAATATTAATCTAAAATATGTTTCGGAATTAAATTTTGAACTAGCTTTTATGATATTTAAATATATTTATATAATAAATTGTTTTTATTTTACATCGTTTTTTTAAGTCTTTTTTTTATTCAAAACATTTAAAGTATTAAAACTCTATATTTATAATCTAATAATCTAAAAAAAATAAAATAAAATAAAAATAAAATATTACTTCATAAAGTTAATAAAAATGTAAAAAGCCTACAAAAAAAATGAATATAAAATAATCGAAAAGAAATGTATTTGAAGAAGCACAATAAATTATAAAAAATAACAAATTAAATAAATAAATGTAGATTTTTTCATTAATTTAAAAATAATAGATATTTGTAGTAATAACAGTGTATAAAATCTACTCAGTTAGTTAAATTTTTACAAATTCTTTTTAAAAAGTTATTGTTTCTACTAGACATATTAACATCAAACTAAAAAATGTTATTATTGTAAGTTATTTATGTAGATTTAGTTCTTAATTTATTAGTTAAAATTTCAAAAGAAATATAAAGAAAGCAATATTTAAAGTAAATCTAGAACAACATACAGTAATAATAATTAAAGTAGAAATATCAGAAAAAATAATAGATATATTCTTAATCACAGAAACAATAAAAAGCATTATATAATAATAATAGATATTAGTCTAAGAATTATTTAGAATAAATTAATAAAAGTCCTATATTAATTCTAATTAATTATTTTTTAGGTTTATTAAATCTTTAAAATTTAATTTATCTTCTCTTTATTTTTTATTTTTAAAATAAAAATAAAATAAATTTTATACTAATTTTCGTATTTTTCTTTTTCTTAATCTGCTGAAATATTATGAATATATTATTTAATAGTATAAAAATCAACCTATTTTTCCTAATTAAAATCATCTAAAAGCTATAAGCAAATCTTTTCCTTACATTTCTTTGCCAAAGTATTAATAATAGAATCTTAATTTCCTATAATAATATTAGAATTAGGATATCCTTATGCATAGAATTTAATATTTTAATAACTTAAATTATTATCTTAATTTTTACAGCTTAATTGACGGTTTTAAATAGCTTTTTAGCTTTTGATAATCGACTATGTATTATAAGCAGTTATCAATTACATTTGATTTTTTTAAATAGAATCATATTTTTAAGTCGAAAGATTATTATTACTCAAAGAATTATTATTATTTGTCAAAGTAATATTTTATTAAAACTAAATAGTATTTGATCTTTAAATTCTACTCTAAACTTACATATTATAATTATATACACCACTTGAATTATTGGAATTTTGTATTTCATCCTCATCACTTTTTAAATTTTTTATTGTATTAAGTCTTTATTAGACTATACTATCCTAAACAGGTATTTATATTATTCTTTTGCTGCTTAAATCATATAAATTTTAATAATTTTAAAACATTTATTATTATTGTTGATCTTGAAAATTTTTTATAGTATTTATTTTCAAATTTTGTTATTAAATAAAATTCTAAGAACTAAATTTTGTTGTCTAACTTTTTATGTGATTTCTATGTCCTCTTATTTTTAATATTTAAGGATTTATATAAGGAGAAGATAAAATTTAATTTTCATTTTTAAGTTCTTTATATAAAATATATATATATATAATACTTTTTTTAAATCTACATATTTTTTTCTCCTATGCTTTTTTTAAAGTATATAATAAAATATTATCTTTTCCTTTTGCATTAACTAAATGAGGACCTAAAAAAGTAAATTTAATATTATCTTTAATCCTCATATATGCTTCTTAACTTAAAGTAATCTCTCCTTCACCTCCTTTCGAGCAAACTCTACTCGTAGTATTAACTGTATCCCCAATTAAAGAAAATTAAGGTTTATGATGACCAATAACTCCTGCAATTACTTAACCATAATGTATTCCTAATATATAAAAATTTATATTAAAATATATATATATATATATATATATATATATATATATATATATAATATTATGTATATTTTTTATTTAAATATAAGTATTTTTTATATTTATATATATATATATATATATATATACATAATTTAATTAATATAATTTTTATATTATTATTATACCTATTTTTATTATTAATTTATTTCCTTTCTAACTCCATTTTAAGTCTTTTACATAATCAATCATGTCTATAGCTAAATTTGAAGCTCTTAAAACTGGATCTATACTTCTTTCTCTTTAATCTATTTAATTTTCAAAATCTTTCAATCCAGCTGCTGCCATATATCTTATTTAAAAATATATTTTTTTTTTTTTTTTTTTTTTTTTTTAGAAAATACGTTTTTCCAACAGTTTCTATTTTTTAAAGACCTTGTTTAACACAAAATTTATCAAATTATAAAAATAGTTTATCTAAAAAAGGTATGATTTTTTCATTTTTTTCTGCTATAATATCATCAAAATAACATATATCGCAAAAAAATATACTGACTTCCCCTTATCTTTCCTAAAATTTTATAGGTTTTGAAATATCACTACTAACCATTTTATTTAGTATAAATTTCGGTAAAAGAATTTATAGTACATCATTTATTTTTTAGCTTTGATCATTTAGTTCATATTTTTGTATAAAGTCTTTCTTTTAATTTAATAAAAGTAAATATTTTTGATAATATATAAATGAAGCGTAAACACAAACTATCAAAGGTTAATTAAAAAGCATAAAATATGTTTTATTTTCAGAATAGACTATAATTTTAAATGTAATATACAGAATAATTAATAATATTGTGGATATAAGAATATAATTTATTTGAATTTTCGAAAAATATGCGTTTTAATACAAAATAAGAATTAATAGAATTAGAAATTCGTTCTAAAATCCTATCAAAATTTAATTAATAGATTAAAAGAATCTAATAATATATAAGAATTGCATTCTTCTACTAAAATTTTCGGGTTTAGTATTTCCAACAAAAAAACTCAATTAAAAAATCAAATTAATTCCAAAAAACACTTAATCTAAAATTGCAAAAATTAAAGTATCAAAAGTGAAAGAATCTATTTCAAAAAATAAAATGTATTTATAAAAAATTATCAAATATAGTATTTTTTAAAAAATAAATGTTAAAAAAGTAATTATTTTTGTATAATTTAACTAAAAACGAAAGAAATCGTTTTAAAAATGATTTTCGGCATCCGAATTACTAAAAGTTAGGCTATATTTATTTATTTTTGTATTTGAAATTATTTAATTTCCAGATTCGAATAATTATTGGATTATTAAGTCCATTTAAACATGTTTAAATATTTTTTTTATGAAAAGATTTATTCCTTATTACATTTTTTTAAATTATAATTTTTTTCTCTATATATTAAATAGACTTTTGTTCAAAATTTTTTTTTCTAAAATTAATTAATTACCAAAAAAAGAATTGAATATGTCTAAAATCGAAAAGAATGATAATTATAAAAACATTAAAGAAAAAATACAAATCCAGAACTTAATATAATTTACATTTACATAATAATAATAATTATGTATTAAAAAACATATTATCAATAAACTAAAAAAACATAAAATTTATAAACTTAATTTCTTCCAAATTATTTATTGGAAACTATAAAATATTCGAAATTATCCCAAAACATTAGAAATAAGCATAATAATTAAGTTTTATTAAAATTAAGATTAGTAAATTACATCAATATCTAATAAATCTAAAAAAATATAATTTAAGCATAAAAATCCTATACAAACTTCAAAAGCGGCCTGAAAAAAGCAAGAATTAAAAAAAAGCTTATATTAATTTTTTAGTAAATAATTCTTATAAGTTTTAAATTGTAAGCTTCCTAACTATATATTGTTTTAGATATTTTTTAAATTAACATCCTACTAATAAATATTTAACAAACCAAATTGGTTATATATAATAGTAATAATACCAAAGGAATATAAAATAAAATAATAAATTAAAAAATCAGAAAAATAGAATTAAATATCATACTAAATATTAACTACATAATTTAAAAAATTATAAAAAGAAAATACCAAAAATCTATTTATAGAAAAAATCAATATTTAATAGTACATATCTTACAATAATCTACTTTAATAAAAAAATAAATTTTAAAATTGTAAATAATTTTATAAAGCAATATCACAATCTAGTTTTAAATTACTAATTTCTATTTCTATATCAGCAGAACTATTATTTTAATTACCGATTGCTAATAATTTTACATTTTTATTACTATTATTCTTTATTAAATTAAAAAGCTTATTTTTTTAATTTTTAGTTAACCCACAACCTAAAAATCCTTTACTAAACTAATATAAAAACGCAAAATGTTATAATAAATATTGATCATTCTAAAAAAAATATAATTATATATATAAATATATATAAATATATATATTTATATATATAATTTTCTTTTCAATTTGTTTATTTTTTTATTATTTATTAAAACTCTAAAAATCTGTATTATTTTATATAGAGTTTTTAATTACTTTTTTAATATTTTATAATTATTAATTTTATATATTTAAATAATTTTAAAATTAAATACTTTTCTTATATTTTATTCTAATTATTCTTTTTCATGTAAAGTTAAAATAAAATTATTTGGTATTCCTTCCTATAAATTCACTTCTTATCTAACATATAAAATCGACCCACTCTCCGGATCTTCCGAATTAGGATCTCTTATTAATATAGAGAATCTATTTCTTTCTTTTGAAGGTTCTTAAAAAGATAAAACTGGATAATTTGTAAAATGTTACTAAATCTGTAAAACATATTTTATTTAATCATTGTCTTCACTCAAACATTTAAACCTTATTCCAAAATTGTCTACAAATTATACAATCGCTTCTTCTTCAGGGCTTCTTTGAAAATTATAAAGCATATTATTCTTCTAATCATACCTTGATCGAGTTTATTAACATAAAGCCATAGCAATAAGAACTTCATTATGAATATGATCATTTTTATCAAAAAATGCATTTAAAAAATCCTTTTCATTTTTTATATTTTCGTCATATGAATTTTCCATAATAGCCATACTGTATTTATTGTTTGTATTATTATTAAAATTAATTGTATTAGTTTTTTTATATATACTTTCTAAACTCTGAGGGTTATATTTTTTCTAATTTTTTAATGGAGTTTTTTTTTATGAAATAGCGAAATTATCCTATTAAATAATGTCACTACCATTATTATTATTACTGTTATTGTCTTGATTTGGATATTAAAAATATTAAGTCTATTGTTATCTTGTTGGGGCTGTATTTACTTTTTTAGTATTATTTTTATTCTGTATGGTTATGTTTTGAAGTTTTAAAAGATTGCTTTAGAAAATTTTATTTTTAGTTTATTGTTTTTTTTTAGATGAAGTTGATTATTCTTCCTCGTCATCTTCTTGCTTTTTTTTTATTTAAATAATGAAATCTTATAAAGAGCTTTTTTCAGGAGAGTTATTTTATAAATTTGTATATGATATGGTATTTTATATTGACTATTATTATAGAGGTTATTTTTATATTTAATCGTCTTAAATTTTTATATGTTATTCGTCTTTGTTTTTGATATTAAAAGATGGGGACTATATAATTTATTATACATTAGGATAAGATTGATTTCTTTCAGTTTCTTTTTCCGATGATATCTCTTCTATTTATTATTATAAATTTTCTTAAAAATAATTTAATGATTTTATTTATTTTTATTATTAAAATTAGAGATGCTATTTATTATTATCTATTCTTATTTATTTAATATCTGAAATACTTTTTGTGTTTTAAGATTTATATTTTTAGATTAGATTTTCTGCTTATGCTTATTATTAACTCTCATTTTCATCATTTTCTTCATTAAAATATTCATCAAAATAACTTTTAGTTTATTCTTTTATATTTTTTATTTCTATTTTTTTAAAAAAATAAAATAAAAATAATATATAATATTTTTAATTTTTTTTTTTTAAAAAAAATACTCTTTATTTTATGATAGTTTTTTAAAATAACATTTTATATTAACTTCATATCTTAAAATTTATAAATTTAATTTGCAAATGAAATTAATCTAACGTTTAATTATTTTGTAGTAAAAGAATTATTTTTATTAAAAAATGCATGAGTAACATAACATAAATCTAAAACTTTTTAATCATTTCCTTTTATAATCAAGCCATTTCCTCCAATACATAACAAAATATTAATTAAATTCGTAAAAAAAATTAAAAATTCGGTACAATTAAAATTGAAAAAAAAATCCTAACTTTAAATTTCTACTAATATTAATTGTAGTTAATATTTACAAGTAATGCTATTGCAAATAGCACGCATTAAATGATCAAAAACATTAAATAGAATTTATATTCATTAGTTTACCATTAACAACCAAAAATATTAATTTTTTATTTTTTTTAGTTTGTTTATTTCTAAAAAACTTTGCAATCTAATCCTGCGTAAACTACCATTCCATAAACCCAATCTGTATATTTTAAAACACTTTCCCTTGGCATAAAATTATTATAATCTATTTTTTCCCAATTCGGGTTTTTTTGTAATTTCATAAATGCTATAAAATCTTTCAATTTAAATGTTGGATTATTATATTCAACTTTTCCTGATAAACTTTTTCTAAATTCATAGGGATCTCCTTTAATTAATTATCCTTTTGTATCTGTAATTTATATTTATAATATATAATTATCTTTAATTAAATAAATATACTTGATGTTAAATAAAATGAATTTCTTATTTATAATTTTGTATTGCCGTTTATTTTAGAAATGTCAATACATGCATATTCATCTTTTGTATCTAAAAGTATTAAATCAGCTGGGGCGGTTTCATTTATTTTAAGATAAACAATATCTCCTACCTAAAATATATAAAAATAATATATATATATATATATATATATATATATATATATATATATATATTGTTATGTACTTCTAAATCTTACCAATAAATTTTTTCAAAAATAGATGTTTTTTAATGAAATACTACTTATGGATGATTTATACTATTATCAATATTACTATTTTAACAAATTTTAAAAAGCCTTCGAAATCTTAAACATTATTTATTATTGATTTCATTATCATATTTTTTTCTTTAAAGTTCAAAGTAAAATTCATTAATAAAATATAATATGGTTCCTAAAAATAAAGATAGTAAATTTAAAAATACTAAATTTAATTCATCTTCAAATTTTTAGTATAAAAAAAAAGAAATTATCATTAATATAATCGAAGGTTATATAGGGTGTTTTATTAAATATTAAAATAACATTTTAAAGAATATTTCATATTTCTAATTTAAAAAATAAAATACTTTTTTTAAAAGAAAGATTAATCTTAATTACTTTATATTTTAATAAGCTTATAAAATTTCTTTATTAAATCTATCCATTTATCCTTATTGGTTCTCCAAATTTAAATTCAATCTTAAAAAAAAAATGAAATTAATATTTATATTTAATTATAAAAAAATATTAAGTATAAAAATTAAAATTTATTACTGAACGCATTCGTTCATTTTTTTCGATATTTTTTTCCTTTATCTTATTAAATTAATATTTTATTTAATATTTTGTCATTTATTACACAAATTTAACTATAAAATTTATATATTTTTTTTTATTTGTTTTTAAAATATTTTTTTTTTTTTAATTAAAAAAATTGCTTTTTAATTTTAAAAATTAATAAATAAAATATTTTTATTATTATATTGAATATAAAATATTTTTTTTTATATATATATGATTCAAAAATTATACAATTGCTAATATTTTTAATATTAATATATTTATTACTTCTAATTATATATTTGACATAATTTTTATTAAATAAATCTAT